CGAGAGCGAGAGCGAGAGCGAGAGCGAGAGCGAGAGCGAGAGCGAGAGCGAGAGAGAGAGAGAGAGAGAGAGAGAGCGCGCGCGTGAGAGCAAGAGCATCAACAGATATTAACATAGTAATCAATCAAGTAACCTCAACCTCATATTGAATAGTCATCAAACGTGCAAGGGACTCTATCGAAGACGGAGAGAGACAAAGCTGATCAAATAGACAGATCAACACTGGATTACAATACAAAAAGCTTCAATTTCTCAATCAACCAAAGAAAGGGGAAGAACATTCTGACAAGAAATGACAGAAACGAAGAAGCTAAATTGAAAGAGATCCTTCGAATATGATTGATGCCAATAGCAGTGGTCACGCTCAGCTAATCGAGAGTGCTACAACATCAGTCGGCAGCTTTTTAGATTTTCTTACACTCTGTAACCCTGTGTGCAGTACCTACGCACAGTGGTTGAGAGAAAGCGCCGATGTTGATCTGTGTGATTCTGTGTAGCACAGTGTCTGTCTATGCTCAGCTTACTATCTCAGACCTCTCCCTGAATCTTAAGGAACGTCTGACGGCAGCAGAATGATCTGCTGGGTAGGATATCGCTCTGTTGGGTGTCACGTGAAAACAAGAGCGTGCTCTCTCACGAGAGAAACCGTATGGTCGTACGGTTTCTCTCGTGAGAGAGCACGCTCTTTTTTCCACGTGACACCCAATGAAAAGGTTTCGCTCGCCGCTGATCGAGGTTTCTTACTGGTTCCGCCTTCTTATTCCTCCGGGCTTACACGGAGACGTAAGACTGACGGCAGCAGAGAAATCGGCTGCCTGAGAGATTGCTCGGTTGGGTGTCATGTGAAGAGTTGTGAATTAAATAGAGAAAGACCTGATACGTCTTTCTTTCAGACCTCTCCCTGAATTATAAGGGAAGTCTGACGGCAGCAGAGAGAGAGATATGCTGTGTGAGAGCTCACTGCGTTGGGTGTAATCTGAAGACACACAGAAAAATGCACACGGGAGAGAAACCGTACAATAACTCTGTATGGTTCAGACCTCTGCCATCTGATCTGGCACGTCTGACCTTTGCAACAGTAGCAGCTACAGAATCAACAACAACAACAACAACAACAACAACAACAACAACAACAACAACAGCAGCAAGTACTACGATAACAGACAACAACAGCACTGTAATCGTGTGCGATACATGTGGCGACTCAATGACTCTGTGTAGAGTTCAGACCTCTGCCACGGTTGGCACGTCTGACATCTGCTGGCTTGTTGCATGAAGAGTAACACATGAGAGAAACCATATAAATGCACGTCATTGTGACGTCATGGAAACTCTTCTGACTTTAGTCTTCAGAATGACAACAACAGCAGCAGCAGCCGCAGCAGCAGCAGAAATAGCAGTAGCAGTAGCAGCAGCAGCAGCAGTAGCAGCAGCAGTAATGCTTGCAGCAGCAGCAACAACAACAACATCAAGTTATCAGTAATAGAACCTGACCATCTGGGATCGGTTCTCAGACCTCTGCATCGTAATGCATCGTCTGACGTTGAATTCATCCCTCCTAGATGTTTTCATCAGCAAGAGAGAGAACAAAAGAGAGAAATAGAGAAAGATCTGATAAGTCTTTCTTTCAGACCTCTCCCTTAACTTTAAGGAAAGTCTGACGGTCGCAGGGAGACTTGCGGACAGATATGTTGACGTGGTGTAACTTGTCGACATGCGCACGCACAGACACATAGAACTCACACAGGAGAGAAACAACTGAAATAAACCAACAGCAGAAGCAGCAGTAACAGCAGCCGCAGCAGCAGCAACAACAACAGCAGCAGCAGCGGCAGCACTAATAGAACCTGACCATCTAGGATCGGTTCTCAGACCTCTGCATCGCAATGCATTGTCTGACGTTGAATTCATCCCTCCTAGATGTTTTCATCACCGGGTAAGCAGCGCGCACATGAGAACAAAATAGAGAAAGACTTGACAAGTCTTTCTTTCAGACCTCTCCCTTAACTTTAAGGGAAGTCTGACGGTCGCTGGGAGACTTGCTGACAGATATGTCGGCGAGGCATGAGCAGCGGAGACTCGCGCACATGCGCACACGCGCACACGGGAGAGAACCCGTATAAGTGTGATCTGTGTGATGCTGCCTTCTCAAGTCTGAGTAGTGTGAAGAGACACATGAGACCGTACAATAACTCTGTATGGTTCAGACCTCTGCCAGCTGATCTGGCACGTCTGACCTTTGCAACAGTGTATCCTGCACATTCCAAAGGAGAATCAGTGCCTTGTGAAATACAAGAGAGGGAACCCAAGATACAAGATACACGAAACAACAACAACAACAGCAAGTACTACGATAACAGACAACAACAGCACTGTAATTGTGTGCGATACATGTGGCGACACAATAACTCTGTATAGAGTTCAGACCTCTGCCATCTGATCTGGCACGTCTGACCTTTGCAACCGTGTATCCTGCACATTCCAAAGGAGAATCAGTGCCTTGTGAAATACAAGAGAGGGACCCCAAGGTACAAGATACACGAAACAACAACAACAACAACAACAACAACAACAACAACAACAGCAAGTACTACGATAACAGACAATAACAGCACTGTAATCGTGTGCGATACATGTGGCGATACAATACCTCTGCATAGAGTTCAGACCTCTGCCATGCCTGGCACGTCTGACATCTGCTGGCTTGTTGAGTGTTGCATGAAGAGTAACACACGAGAAAAACCATATAAATGCACATCATTGTGACGTCATGGGAACTCTTCTGACCTTAGTCTTCAGAATGACAACAACAGCAGCAGCAGAAATAACAGCAGCAGAAATAGCAGCAGCAGCAGAAATAGAACCTGACCATCTGGAATCGGTTCTCAGACCTCTGCATCGTAATGCATCGTCTGACGTTGAATTCATTCCTCCTAGATGTTTTCATCATCAAGATAGAGAGATGGATAGATAAAGATAGATAGATAGAGACACAGAGAGAGGGAGAAAGATAGACACACAGACTGAGAGACAGACAGACAGACAGACAGACAGAGAGAGTAGAGAGAGAGAGAGAGAGAGNGGGAAGTCTGACTGTCGCAGGGAGCCTTGTTGACAGATATGTCGGGAAGGTGTGACTAGCTGGTCTACAGATACATGCGCTCACATTCTCACACAGAGAAGAACTCACACGGAAGAGAAACAACTGGAATAACTCTGTATAGAGTTCAGACCTCTGCCATGGCTGGCACGTCTGACATCTCTGCTGGCTTGTTAAATGTGCCACGAAGACTAACACGAGCGAGCTAGAGAAACCGTATAAGTGCACATCATTGTGACGTCATGATAGTGGTGACGATGGTGGTGGTGGTGCTGCTGCTGATGACGATGATGATGACGACGACGAAGATGATTATGGTGGTGATGATGATTGGAGAAACACACGTTTTCCAGAACTTACACAGGAGAGAGTTGTATAAGTGCGATACATGTGGCGACACAATAACTCTGTAAAGAGTTCANCTTGTTAAATGTGCCAAGAAGACAAACACTGGAGAGAAGCCGTATACGTGCGATATATGTGGATACACAATAACTCTGTGTGTAGAGTTCAGACCTCTGCTACGGCTGGCACGTCTGACATCTGCTGGCTTGTTGGGTGTACGTGCCACGAAAACACACAGACGAGAGAAGCCATACAAAGAACTCTAACCCTAGTAATCCATTTAGATACACACGTACATGGAGAATAAACAGCATCAGCAGCAGCAGCAGTAACGACAGCAGCAGCATCAGCAGATGTAACACAACAACAGCAAGTTGATCAGTCAATAGAACTGGCCGTCTGACGGCGGATTCAGGTTCTCAGACGGCGTGTGGGCCATCTAGATGATCGTCCTGACGTTGATCCCTGCCTCCTAGGCATGCTCTTCAGTTTCGCCCACATACATGTATATATAAGCAGTATCATATTCGTAGTACTATTAGACCTTAAGGAAGTCTGCTGTGCGCAGGGAGCCTTGGTGACAGATATGTCGGCAAGGTGGTGGACTAGCAGATCTCAAAAGCACATGCGCAGCGCGTTCTCACACGAGAGAAGAGACTCACACCAGTGAGAGAAACATGGAACTCTGTATAGGTTCAGACCTCGCTATGGCTGACAGTCTGACGGATCTCTGCGCTGGCTAGTTAAATGTGCCAGCGCAAGACTAACACGATGCGAGCTAGGAGAAACCGGTAGTAAGTGCACATCATTGTGAGTCGATGGATAGTGTGACGCATGGTGGTGGTGGTGTGCTGGCTTGATGACGGATTGCATGATGACGCGACGAGATGATTATGGTTGGTGATGAGTGATTGGAGAAACACACGTTTTTCCCAGAACTTACACGGACGGAGAACCGCCTACAAGTGCGTACATTGTGGCGGACCACAATAACTCTGTATAGAGTTCAGACCTCTGCCACGGTTGGCACGTCTGACGTCTGCTGGCTTGTTGGGTGTGCCACGAAGACACGGTCTGAGCATTGTTGACTAACGTGTGGTGACTGCATCGCAGCTGTAATGACTAAAGAGGATGACGATGATGATGATGATGATGGATGAAGGATGATAAGATGTTTTCATCACCGAGCTGAGTACAAAGGCGAGCACACCAATGCTACATGCTACTGCTTATATGCTACTGATATAAGTCTTTCTCTCAGACCTCTCCCTGAATCTTAAGGGACGTCTGACGGCAGCAGAAAGATCTGCTGTGTGGGATATCGCTCTGTTGGGTGTCACGTGAAAACAAGAGCGTGGTTTCTCACGGGAGATCTCCCACGGAACGGTGTGATGCATCAGATGCAGCTCTCACATTCCCGCGGGGCTTAAACGGAAGTCTGACGGCCGTAGAGAGAGAGANTGTGTGTGTGTGTGTGTGCGTGCGTGCGTGTGTGTGTGTAGCGCGCTCGTGTATGCGCTGTAGTCGCATGCTGTCGTGGGCGTCAGCGGCACACACGGCCATAAGGTGCAAAGTACGCCGCCGTGTCAACATCACACATGACATACACATGCTGTTCGATCCCGCTGCATAGCAAAGCGTAGCATAGAGAGAGAGAGAGAGAGAGAGAGAGAGAGAGAGAGAGAGAGAGAGAGCCCCCGCACCTTGTAGGTAAGTCCCTTCTCACGTCTTTCTTTGTTTCGTTCAAAACCGCGCTTGCTTGCTGTACGTCGCAGGTGAGTCCCTTCTTACGTCTTCTTTCTTTCTTTCGTTTAACATCGAGCTTGCTGGTGGTAATCTTCTTACTCGATGCTTTTATTGGGTTTTTAATGTGTTGCCATTGCCGCGTAGATGAGGAAGGGTTAGTGGGGTTCCACACGCATGAGCCATCGTTGAGGGAAGCGTCGGTCAACCCTCGTTATTCTAGTCATGCTATAGTCACCCATTGACTTTCCTAACTCGGATGTTTTCACTGTGGTTTTAATGTGTTGCCTTTGCCGCGTAGCGTGAGTGAGCGTTAGTGGGGTTCCACACGCATGAGCCATCGTGGTGTGGTGGTGGTGGTGGGGGGGGGGGTGTGTGTGTGTGTGTGTTCAAAACGTGATTCGTGTGTCGTAAAACCTGCGACTTGGGTCGACATGACGGCTTAGAAAGGGCGGGTGTGTGGAAGCGCCTGTCAACCCGTGTAGTCATGCTATAGTCACCCATTGACCATCCTAACCACCCAGTGGTCTTCGTATAGTCACCAAGTGAACATGCTAGTGACCCAGTGTGATCCATAACATAGCCATGATAGCCTGACCAAACCCTAACCTACCCATGACCTAACCTTAACCCTAACCCATGATCTGGTCATCATCGTTGACCCTTTGATCGTCCTAGGTACGGAGGAACCCCGCGCTGACAGCCGCACAGGAAGAAGAAGAAGAAGAAGACGAACATGAAGAAGAAGAAACTGAACCAACCCGTTCGTTGGTGACGAGGAATGGTTTCTCAGACCTCTGCGTTCCGACGCACGGCCTGACCGTCGACTTACACAGTCGATCAATCCTGACGTGTGATGCAAGTGGATACGTGGACAACTTTGAACCAACCCGTCCGTTGGTGACGACGAATGGTTTCTCAGACCTCTGCGTTCCGACGCACGGCCTGACCGTCGACTTACACAGTCGATCAATCCTGACGTGTGATACATGTGACTACGTGGTGTACTACCTCCAGTATTATTCCCTCACGCGGGAGAAAGGAAGGACGAGGGGGAGGATGAGGAGGAGGAAAAGGGGAGGAGGAGGAGGAGGGAGAGAAGAAGTGAATCCTGAGTGTGATACATGTGAATACGTGGTGTACTACCTCCAGTATTATTCCCTCACGCGGGAGAAAGGAAGGAGGAGGAGGAGGAGGGGGAGGAGGAGGAGGAGGGCGAATAGGAGGGGATGAGGAGGAGGAGGAAAGGAGTATAGTAAAGAGACTCGACCATTGACCACCTGACTATGTATATATACAGATCTTCGCAACGCTGTAGCGCATAGCTAACTATAACTATACGAACCCTGATGCCAGTTCCGACGACCTATCTGTCCCTCGGCGGGTGCAGTCCGCGAGTTCGTGTCGCCAGTCCGTGTCACCTTCCCTTGCCCTTATTCCATCTTTCTTCTCCCAACTTAACGACAACGCTGAACGACCGTCGTCTCCCATATCGTGAGCATCACACCTCCCACACCTACCACAGAGCATCCACACCTCCCACAGAGCTTCCACACTTTCCACACCTCCCACAGAGCTCCCACACCCACAGAGCTCCCATCCCTCCCACACCTCCCACAGGCGGTGCATGCCTGCACTACAGCCCACCTATGCTAGTGGGTTAAGGGTTAATAAACGCGGTTATTGCTGATGTGTTATTGCTGGTGATTGTGATCGTAGTGTGTACAAGGTAACTGGACGCGGACGGTCGTGGCCAGCGGCTAGTGTGCGCGTATGTTGGGTACAATACTGTTGATAATGTTGACTCGCACCCTAACATCGTGTTGGTAGAAACATCGAGACAGATGGAGAGAGAGAGAGAGACGGGGAGGGCGGTTGTTATATATATATATATATATATATATATATGGAGTATATAATCTCATTTTTCTCTTATTTTGTGTGATTATTTACTCATATAAATATATAGGGAGGAGGTGGGAGAGTAGGAGAGTAGGGCAGTGAATTGTTTATTGGGGTGATGTTGGTTGGGGACGTGGATGATGTTGGCTGTGGACATGGGTGTGGTTGGGTACATTGATGCTTTTGGCTGTCGCCTCAATTTATCAACAATTCTCTTAGATTTCCTCGCCATTCCACTGTCGCAGTCTTCTGTATAGGGAAGAAGTGCAGGCGCGGGACATGAGATTTTACAGTCTTGCTTTAGCGTTCACCGTTGCGCATTGTACTAGCGCGCGGGCGAGGTGTCGCTCGCTTATTTTATACCGAAGAAATAAATTTGTACGCGTTATTCATAACTGCGGCGTGTTTCGTGCTTATACCTTCCTAGTCGTGCTTTTTTTTGTTCGATGGCTGTTTGTGTGTAGTGCTTAGTTCGAGAAATATGATACGTTTGCTTAATGTACCAGCTGTTGAGAACGGACCCTGACCAAGACAAACGAAGCAAACCAACACAAACGAACGAATGAATCAACAAACAAACACAAACACAAGCACCAACGAACAAAAATTTAATAGTGTTGATATAATAGAATGGAAATCAAGACAATAATAGAATAGAAGAATAGAACAGCGTTGATGAAAACTAGAAATCAATACTCATGAAATGACTCGTCGTTGTCACATCAGCAACACGACCGATACTAGAACAACGACATAGAACGCGCAAAAATATACGTATACAGAATCCTCCTGAAATATCGTCATGATCCTATCAAAACTGGGGCATGTGTGCGCGCGTGCATGCATCCGTGCGCGCGTGTGTGAGCGTCCGTGCGTGCGTGCGTGCGTGCGTGCGTGCGTGCGTGCGTGCGTGTGTGAGCGTCGGTGCGTGCGTGCGTGTGTGAGCGTCCGTGCGTGCGTGCGTGCGTGCGTGAGCGTCGGTGCGTGCGTGCGTGCATGCGTCCGTGCGTGCGTGTGAGCGTGCGTCCGTGCGTCTCAATTTCTCCGTGTGTGTCAGTGTATGTGCATGCGTGCGTGCGTGGTGCAGTGCGTGCGTTTGTGCGCTGCTGTGTGTGTGCGTGCGTGTGTGTGTTGGAGGAGAGAGAAGAGTGTGTGCGCGTGTGTGCGTGGAGTTCTCAATTTCTCCTGCTGTTGTGCGTTGCTGCGCGTGAGCGTCGGTGCGCTGCGGGTTGAGCGTCCGTGCGTGCTGTGTGCTGAGCGTGCGTGCGTGCGTCCGTGCGCGTGTGTGCATGCGTGCGTGCGTGTGCTGCGTCGTGCGTGCGTGTTTGTGAGCGATGGCGGCCGCTTGTGTTCCGTACGGTGTGTATCAATTCTCCGTGGTGTGCTGTGCCGTGTGCGTTGTGTGTGGTGTCGTGGCCCGTGGGTCGCGACGTCTTGTTGTGTTGTGGAGGCGCGCTTGCGTGCGCTGCGCGTGTGTGTGTGTGGTGTGTGCTCGTTGTGTGCGGTGTGTGTGTGGTGTGTGCGTGCCTGCGCTTGTGTGTGTGTATGGGTGTGTATGGTATGTGTGCGTGTGCGCTGCCGTGCGTGTCTGTGCGGCTGGTGTGGTTTGTGCGGTGCTGTGTCCGTGTGTGTGTGTGTGTGTGTCCGTGTGTGTGTTGTGGGGCGTGTGCTGCGTTGCGTGCGCGCGTGTGTGTGTGTGTTTGCCGTGATTGTCCTGGTGGCGTGTGTGTGTAGCGCGCTCGTGGTATGCGCTTGTAGTCGCCATGCTGTCGTGGGGCGTCAGCGGCACACTACGGCCATAAGGCTGCAAAGTACGCCGCCGATGTCAACATCACACATACATACACATGCCTGTTCGATCCCGTGCAAGCAAAAGCGTAGCATAGGATGACGAGAGAGAGTGAGAGAGACGCAGGGAGGGAGAGAGAGAGAGAGAGAGCCCCCGCCACCTTGTAGGTAAGTCCCTTCTCACCGTCTGCTTTGGTTTCGTTCAAAACCTGGCGCTTCGGTTGCTGTACGTCGCCAGTGGTAGCTCCCTTCTTACGTCTTCTTTCTTTGTCTTTCGTTTAACATCCGAGCTTGCTGGTCGTAATCTTTTACTCGATGCTTTATTGGCGTTTTTAGATGTGTTTGCCATTTGCCGCGTAGATGGAAGGTTAGTGGGTTCCACACGCATGGCAGCCATCGTGAGGGAAGCGTCGGTCAACCTTCGTTATTTCTAGTCATTGCTATAGTCAGCCCATTGACTCGCTCAATCGCAGTTTTCACTGTGGTTTTAACTGTTGTTGGCCTTTTGCGCGTAGACGCTGAGTGAGCGTTAGGTGGGGTCTCACACGCATGAAGCCATCGTGGTGTGGTGGTCGGTGGTGGGAGGTGGGGGCTGTGCAAGCGCTGTCAACCCGTGTGAGTCATGCTATAGTCAACCCATTGACCATCCTACCACCCAGTGTAGTGGGCAGATATGTGAAAAAAATGTTCAATCCTGCGCAGAAAAGTGAAATTTTGTTATCACAGGGGTATTTTTGGCGGCGCTGATTTCAAAAATGCCGGATCAAGAGATCTGACTAATGGACCGGCCGCCATCTTTGAATTCCAAATATGGGCCACCATGACCGAAAACATTTGAACCATCTACTATCTGTGGGTTCTAAAATGATCAATGTGGCGCTTTATTTGGTACACAAGAGCATTTTGACATGCTGAAGTTCAATAATGGATTGATATTGACATGTTGACAAACAATTGGCAGCCATTTTGAATTCAATATGCGACCATGATGAAACACATTGAACTTATAATATTGGGT